AGGAGATAGGCGACGCTGTGGGAGCTGCCACAGGCGATCCTGAAGTTGCCCATTGCGTTGGCAGGCAGGCGAGGCAGTCCCAGCACCACTGAGGGCATCTTGTTGACAACGGTCAGACCATTGCCCAACTGACCGTGGTCGTTGTCACCCCAGGAGTAGACCTGTCAGGGAGCACAGAAACAAATAAAAAAAGAGGTTTGAGATGGGTCAGTCAAAATAGTTAACAGATGGATGGATTGATAGATGGATGAATATATGGACATTGCCGATCTGGTAGAGGAACAATTAAGTTCCACTTCGTCCTGGAGCTCACAACGTGAAACCGCCAGACTGTCACATAGTGACTATGATGATATGATGAATTGTATCCGACAAAGCAAAGGGAAACCGGAATAGCCATTTCTGGCTTGTTAACCGTCATCAGCCAGTCATACCGAATCTCAAAAGTTGGAACCCCCGAGATTCGAAGCCGAGACCTTTGGTCATCGAGTTTACCACTCCGCCATTGTCCCATCTTTCCGGAGAGATGAATGTTAATCAAGTTTAGGTTAACTAAAACGCAATAGTGGTTGACACCGAGGCCGGGGACTAGCTACCAGGGGGGCAGTGTATAAAGACTGGACGGGATAGTTTAAGGGTGATCAACAGTAGTGTTGATAAAGAAGTCAAATGTGACTTACCCGACCGGTGTCAGTGACCGCCAGGCAGTGGAGTGCACCCACAGTAACCTGAACGACGCGTTGAGAGGCGAAAGCTTTGACACACGTGGGAACATTCACGTGGGTTAGGTCGCCGTGTCCGAGACGATAGTAATCTGCCTAGATGTGGAGGAGAGTAATATTGGTCAGAGTCGGAAGAAGGGGCCGAAATAGGGGCTAATGAGTACAACCGAGTATGTAAACGGGGAAAATGTCTGACGAAGCGCAGATGCTAGACATTGGGGCAATGACCTGCCGCCATTTTCTGCAGTTCTGCACGGCGCTGGTGGTCTTCTGACGCAACCATGACAGTTGGCCGATAAAGATTTGATCTTATCGATTATCCTTTGATAGAACTACCGCCGTCATACCGCCGTCGATATTTCATTCAAATGGAAGTGGTAGTTTGAAAGAGTAAAGTAGGTCAATTATGTTATGAAAATGTTGAATAACTGTTGATAACAATTCGTGTATTGGCGATAGTGAAAAGAATGATGACTATGCGTGGGCATGGACCTAGATGCTGACAAAAAACAACGTTTGGATGTGATAACTTTAATTGCTTAACGTCAAAGTACAAAGGCATTAGGACAAAACAACTCGTCTATCATATGATGATCGTAAATATGCACAAATGTCGAAGATGGTCACATAACCGCTGGAACAAGAACTTTGTTAGCCTAGCGTTTTGGATTAGCACTCGAATCCTGTCAAAATTATCGGCGTTAACGTTAATCGCACGTGGTGCGATAAGAAGCCCCCATTCTGAAGATGCATTCCAGTGAGAGTCCGAAACGTCGGGCATGATATTGTTCTAGAAACACTTCCCATCCCTTCTATTATGCACACATCTATCAATGCAAATTATAAGCACGCCAAAAAGTAGGCAAGGGATAGGACCGACAGGCCATACGTTCATTGATGAACGTTCACCCGAGCGCTAGCGGAACGCATCTGTTAGGCAGATAGTATTGCCGGCAAAGAGCAGTTGCTACGGCTGTCAGGGACTCTGCCGAGGCCCTAGGCAGAGCGGGACAGATGAGTTCCGTTAGCAGTCGGGTAAACGTTCAGCTCCAACATAAAATCGGCGAGACAAGGAGCTCGTGGCTAAATGGTTAGGACGTTTGAGTCTGATCAAGCAGGTCACGAGCTCAAGGCTCGGGCGGGACGCCACTTGGGTCTGGGTATGACTGGCTGAAGATGGCTAATAAGCCAGAAAAGGAAATTCCAGTCTCCCCTGTCTTTGCCAGCAATACTATCAGCTCATGCATTCTAATATTTCAATCAGATAGTGTCGACTTAGACCTAACCAGACCAATTAAGCGTATCTAGCAGGAGGAGCAAACGTAGCAAAAGATAGATACATAGAGAAATACAGATTTCATGGTCAGTTTAAATTACTTATGTTCAAAACCTCTCTTGTGCCACGGACTTCATATCAAAAGTAAACAACTGGTCTTAAGGAGAGCCTTCTAGAGGCGACCAACCGTTTACCTTGCCCCAGGTGAAGACCCGTCCACTGGCAGTGAGTGCCACGCTGAATTGCGCACCACAACCCAAGAAGATGACAGGATGGTGCTGTTGTTGTTGTTTCTGCTGGTGTAGATGACTCGAAAAAGCGGGAATTGGG